TTGAAGATCAGGAAAAAATAAATTAGACATCTTCCAAACCATGCCAAATTCTAGATTTGGACATAGTTTTACTACCATCAAGAGTTTATAATTTGAGTATAATTTGGGGTTTTTGATCAAATTCTTAATAGATTCTATCTGGAAGATTGGAAATAATTATTATTTTGAGGAAAAATCATATCCATCATGTCCCCCAGATACCTTTGAATTATTCTAATCAATTTAAATTAAAAAACAAGCAAAATAGGACTTATTTCAACAAAATCAATTTATTTTAACATTGGGAAATCATATGGGTATTTTCTGATTATTATTAGTGAGAATTGAAACTGGGATAACCATTTTTTAAAAATGTAGGAAGCCAGAATTGTTATAGACTACTTTCCAATTCTATATGTAGGAATGATGTACAATAAAAAGAAATGATTCATTACAAATAATACTATAAAATTATCCTGTATATTTTTTTTCAATGAGTCAGATTTTATAATATCAGACAAACAAAAGCTGAAAGTTTCATCAATAACAGACCCTGTCTTACAAGAAATGCTAAAGGGACTCCTTCCAATCTGAAAAAAGGACATTTACAATGCAATAAAAAAAATGTCTAAGAGGGTACAAAACTCGCTGGTGTGTAAGTGCTGGGGAAAAGAGAATGTTGTAACATCAGGTATGATTAACAACTCCTCATATCTCGGCAGAAGGAGCAAAGATGAAACTCCTCTCTAAATCACTCACTCTGCTCTAAACCTAAACAATCTCTCTCATAAAACTCTCCATCCAACATAGAGATAGATCCCATCTCATTATCTTCTCGGCTTGTTTGTTTAGTTTGTGATTGGGTTTGTCCAGTTTGAGCCAGGTTGAGCATTGTGCAGGCCTCACTTGGCAACCTCAGGTAAGCATTACAACAGATACACAAAGAATAAAAAGCAAAATTAAAACATACCACCAGAAAAAATCACCCTTTATAAGAAGACTGGGGAAAAAGAAGACCCTGAAACTGCCTGGAAGCACATGTTGCAGCAAGATTAGGTGCTTATCAATGATTAAGACAGATGTGAATGGATGAAACTCTCAATCAAAGAAGCCATGGTGATCCCCCCACCGATCAGTCTCCAAGCACATTCCCTAGGCCCCTATCTAGGTCTTCATCTCTCCTATTCCTGCCACTGCTACCCGTCCACCCTTCAAGAATGAGTTAACTAGGAACATGTCTCTCATCCAGGGTCTGGCAATCAGTTCTTCAGCAGAGGCAGAAGAGGTGGCAGGTGTTATCATGGCCCCCTGGGTGAGTCATTAGGTCCATCATGGAGATGGCTACACAGCACAGCCCTAGAGCCCTGCCTCCACACACACATTGCTCCAACACTGAGGCCAACAAGAGTGCGGAGGCCCATCATTCTGGAGGTGCCCAGTTATTCAAGTGACATCAAGGTCAGTGGCGCAGAACTGATGAATGTTCTCAGCAAGGTTCATTATCAGTGAGACTAGACCTGGAGGAGCTCATGGTTTTAGCAGTGATGCATGTCAAAGCATGGTAGCCATGATGGATGGCAAACCTCCTCCAGCTCCACTTCGACTAAGAAATCATCACCTGTGAGTCGCACATCAAAAGAGTGACAGACAATATACAAACAGTTTGGTGTTTGATCTGGAACCGTTTGCGGCAGTGGACTTTTAGGGAGCCTTTGGGGCAGCAGGGTTCACCTGAGTGAACAACTCACAGCATAATATTCTGACACTACTTGAATGAAGGAGGAACATGGATTTGACAACTTTATCAGCTGCTTGATTAGGTCAGATGCTTTGTTCCATGCCTTGAAATCTCTTTCAAAGATGACACACAAACCCTCAAGTGAATATCCAGAGTGGCTGCAGCTGACAATGTATTTCTAAAATGGGAAACCCAGGCCTGTCCAGCCCCACTTGCGCCCCATGCAGTCACCTTGGAGCCTCAGCCTCTCCCAGTACTGATCCGTTTGCAGTCACATCTTCGTAGGTCACTTAACTGACCTATGGGCCTTTGTTCTTTCAGCCCTTGGCACCCAGCTACTCAGTCAACATCAGGACCAGCGCCTAACATTACGCAGAGTCTGCTTGTGACTCTAGTACTCAGCAGCTCTAACAAATCACTTCACCTGTCTCTTTCTCATCTTATATCACTCTTGTATCTGTACCAGCACTCAGCACTTGCATTTTGCTGCATTTTGAGGCCCTCTCTCAGTTCTGGGAGGACTGACTCCACTCCCTACACACCTGGTCCACCATTCACAGTTACCCCAGAAGCAATAAACATCAGGCTATTCCAGTCCCACATGTTCCAGTGGTTTTGTCTGTATTCTGCTCCTAGCCTGCCAGGCCCAGGAGGAGAAAAATGTATGGGAAAAAGAAAGAGAGAGAGAAGGAAGGAAGGAAGGAAGGAAGGAAGGAAGGAAGGAAGGAAGGAAGGAAGGAAGGCAGGCAGGCAGGCAGGCAGGGCTTATTTCACTTAACATAATGACCATGAATTCAACCCAAGTTGTTGCAAATGACAGAATCTCATTCTTTTTGATGGCACTGAATATTTTCCATTGTGTATATATAAGCATTTTCCCTTATCCATATTCTGCTCCTAGCCTGCCAGGCCCAGGAGGAAGAAAAAATGTATGGGAAAAAGAAAGAGAGAGAGAGAGGAAGGAAGGAAGGAAGGAAGGAAGGAAGGAAGGAAGGAAGGAAGGAAGGAAGGAAGGAAGGAAGGAAGGCTTATTTCACTTAACATAATGACCATGAATTCAACCCAAGTTGTTGCAAATGACAGAATCTCATTCTTTTTGATGGCTGAATAGTACTCCATTGTGTATATGTAAGCATTTTCCTTATCCATTCATCTGTTGATTAACACTTAGGTTGTTTCCAAATCTTGGCTATTGTGAAGAGTGCTGCAACAAATGTGGAAGTGCAGATATCCCTTTGACATGCATATTTCCTTTTGGGGTGGTATATACTCAGCAGTAGAATTGCTGGATCATATGGTAGCTCTATTTTTAGTTTTTTAAGGAATCTTGTGATTTGAGCTCCTTATATATTCTGGTTATTAATCCCTTGTCAGATGAATAGTTTGCAAATATTTTCTCTTATTCTGTGGGTTGTCTCTTCACTTTGTTAATTTTTTCCCTTTTTTAACTTAATGTGATTTGACTTGTCCATTTTTGCTTTGGTCACTCAGGAAATCTTTTTCCATTCCAATGTCAAGAGTTTTCCTAAAGTTTTCTTGTAGTAGTTTTATAGTTTAAGGTCTTAGATTTAAAACTTTAATCCATTTTGACGTGATTTTTGTATATGGTGATAGCTAGGGGTCTATTTTCATTCTTCTGCATATGAATATGCAGTTTTCCCAGCACCACTTGTTTAAGAGATTTTTCTTTCCCTCATGTATGTTCCCAGCACCTTTGTCAGAAATGAGTGCTCTGTAGGTGTATGGATTTGTTTCTGGGTTCCCTAATCTGTTCTATTATCTACATGTACATTTTTATGCCAGTAACACGCTGTTTGGGTTACATAGCTCTGTAGTATAATTTGAAGTCAGGTAATGATTCCTCCAGTTTTGTTCTTTTTGCTCAGGACAGCTTAGGCTACTCTGGGTCTTCAGTGGTTCCATATAAACTGTAGGATTTATATGGAACCTAAATAATTTTCTCTATTTCTGTGAAGAATGTCATTGATATTTTGATAGGGAATTCACTGAATCTGTGGATTTCTTTGGGTTGTATGGACATTTTTTAAATGTTCATTCTTCAAATTCTTGCGCATGGAATTACTTTTCCATTTTTATGTACTCTTCAATTTCTTTCCTCAGTGTTTTATAGCTTTCATTGTAGAGCATAACCAGTTGAAGACGGAGGAAGGAACACATTTAAAAATCTCTGGAAATTATTCTAAGGGTAAACATCAAACTATGAATACTGATTCACTGTGTTGGATATTTATTCACTGTTAGAATTAATAAGTAAATCAATATTGAATTCCTTACATACAGCCAGGATGCAAAAAACATCCTCTAAATCCTATTCCATCTTCCATTAATTGTCTAGTGAAAATATTTAATAAGAATCCAAAAAGAAAGTTTTCCACAATAAATTAAATGAAATATTTGGGTTGTGAGTGTAGTTGAATGTTGATGAGGCAGGAAATTAAAGAAAAATACAATTAGAAAGAAAAAGAAATAAGTGTTCCTGTATTAGGCTGACTTGTCCCAGAGGCAGCAACATGCACAGACCAGACCCAGGACAAGTCTTCATAATGTTATCTAATGTGCTCTGGAGACTCTCCCAGCACTCCCTCAACATAGGGAGAAGAAAAACTAATTTTCCTTTGTTTAATGGAATAAGTTTTTAGATTCCTGTTCTCCGTAACTAGTGACTTCAAGTATTCTGTTTTATCTAAGAAGTAGAGTGAAGGTCATGAGAAGCCTGAGTAGGCCTGAACTACAGCCTCCCTGGGCACCATAGTGAAAGTTATAAGATAAACCAGTATAAGGCTCTTTAGAGCAAAACCTAGATAACAGACATCTGGGTTGCTTGGCAAGGGTCATGTGCAATCCTGAGTTTGTCCTGCCTCTATATCCCTGCTTTCACACCACTGTAAGCTTGCTTCAAGCTAGCCCACCCGCTTTTGTGAAGTGTGTATGAAAGTCAAGTGCTGTCTTTGCATGTGAGTCCGCTGGGGCCTGAGTGCACTCAATAAAAATTCTCTTGTTTTAACCCGAGGTCACTCTCTCGTCCTCCTGGATCCCGCAACACTGATAAGTCACTGTCATGCTAACATTTTTTATAATGAGCTACTTTGACAATGCTTCCATAACTTTCTCAAATGATACAGATTTTGCCTCCTCTCTCACTGTCACACACAAAACTTTCGGCCATACTGGGGAATCTTATGATTCTCCCTTATAATTGCAAAACACTAGAAATTTTCATTTATTTTGCCTCTTCTCTTGCAGACAAGGGAACACCCCAGACATGGCATCAGAGATCCACATGACAGGCCCAATGTGCCTCATTGAGAACACTAATAGGTGACTGATGGCGAATCCACAAGCTCTGAAGATCCTGTCTGCCATTAGGCAGCCTGTAGTGGTGGTGGCAATTGTGGGCCTCTACCGCACAGGCAAATCCTACCTGATGAACAAGCTGGCTGGGAAGAAAAAGGGTGAGTGGCATGAGCAAAGCTCTGCCAAGTCCCTTCTGTCCATCTACACAGTCAGCATCCATTACGAGGATGTGAGGAGAGAAAGTTAGAGATGAGGATGAATACTGAAAGCTAACTTTCCATTCACAGTCGGTCTCCTTATCTTCATGCTGTTCCAGAGGATAAGATTAAATTCATTAATTATTCCCACGATACGTTAGTTTCCCTTTCAAAAGCACAAATTATGACTTTCCTAAAAGGAGTAAGACTGTAATAAAAATTATTAATGTACATAATAATAACTACAATAAACTATACAATGTTTATTATAATTTTTATGCCATAACAGTGAGTTTACAATGATCTTTAAGGTTGAAAAAATGTTTCAGTCTGTATTGGATATTCTTTTTTATTGTAAAAAAAAAAACATAAAATTTAACCTCATAACCATTTTTAAGTGTACAACTCTGTGACATTAATTAAATTCACACTGTTATACAACTGTCACCTCCATCCATATCCAGAACTCTTTCATCTTGCCTAACAGAAACTCTGTACTAAATAAACAAAAGCTCCACATCAACCCATTGCCTGCCATCATTCTACATTCTATCTCTATGAATTTGACTACTACAGAAAACTCATATAAGTGGAATCATTCAATATTTGTCCCTTTGTGACTGTCTTATTTCAATTCATATGTCTTCAAGTTTCATCAGTGTGTTAGTACGTGTCAAAACTCCTCCTTTTTAAGGCTTAGTAATTGTATGTCTTTGATAATTTGTTTATCTCTTCATCTGTCAATGGCCACTTGGATTGCTTCCACCTTTTGTCTATTATAAATAATGCTAATAGGAACATGAGTGTCTGAATATCTGTTCAAGTCCCCGCTTTCACTTCTTTTGGGAATATATCCAGAAGGGGAATTGTTGGCTTATGGAGTCATTCCATGTTAACTGTTTTTTTAAAGAAATCACTATACCATTTTCCACAGTGACTGTACCATTTTACATTCCCAACAGAAATGCACAAGGGCTCTAATTTCTCTACTTCCTCACCAACATTTTTTATTTTCAGTGGTTTTTTTTGTTTGTTTGTTTGTTTGTTTTTTTGATAGTGTCCATAGGAATGGAGGTTAAGTAGTATCTCGTTGTGGTTTTGATTTTGATTTCCCTAATGACTAGCGATATTGAGCATCTTCTCATGTGCTTATTGGCCACTTGTATATCTTCTTTGGGAAAATGTCTATTCAAGTCCTTTGTTCATTTATTAATCTGGTTATTTGTGTTGCTTTGTAAATTTTTTTATATTTTCTAGATATCAATCCCTTATCATATACATGTTTAGCAAATCTTTTCTTACATTCTATGTGTTGCCTTTTTTAACTCTGTTGATAGTCTGTTAACACTCAAAAGTTTTAAATTTTGATGAAGTCCAACTCGTCTACTTTTTCTTTTATTGACTATACTTTTGGTTTCTTATTCAAAAAAATCATTGCCATATCCAATATTATAAAACTTTTGCCCTTTGTTTTCTTCTACAACTTTTATAGTTTTAACTCTAATATTCAACTCTTTGATTCATTTTGAATTCATATTTATAAGTTATAAGGTAACAGCCCAACTTTTTTAAGGAGATATCTCATTTCCTCAACATCATTTGTTAAAGAGACTCTCCTTTCTTCATTAAATGATCTTGACACCCGTACTGGAAATCATTTGACCATATATGTCAGAGTTTATTCATGGGCTGTTTTTCTATTCCATTGGTTTATATGTCAGTCTTTATACCAGTACCATACATGGTTTTGTAATACGTCTCAGAAATCAGAAATTGTGAGATTCCAACTTTGCTCTTCCTTTTTAAGATTATTTCCATCATTAGGGGATCTCCAGAAATTTCATATGAAAGTTATGGTGGATTTTTCTATTTATACAAAGTAATTGGAATGTTGGTAGGTATTACATCAAACCTGTACATCATTTTGGGTAGTAGTGACATCTTAAGAATATTAAGTCTTCCAATCCATGAATGCAGGATGCCTTTCTAATAATTTATGTCATCTATAATGTCTTTAAAGGGTGTTTGAAGTTTTCACTCTACAACTCTTTTGCCTGCTTGGTTAAGCTTATTCCTAGGTAGTTTATTCTTTTGATGCAGTTAAATGGGATTGTTTTCAAAATTTCCTTTTCTTTTCATTTAGGAAGGAAATTAGAATTCCTGTTCTAATTCTATTTTTATACACTAGCAACTGATTTCTCCATATTGACTTTGCATGCTGCAACTTTGGTGAATTCTTTTAATAGTTCTAATAGGTTTTTGTGGAATATTTAATGTTTTCTACAAATTAGATACTACTGTCAGCAGACAGATAATTTTACTTTTTCATTACCAATTAGGATGCCTCCTTTATGCTTTTCTTGTCTAATTACTCTGGACAGGACTTGCAGTGTTCTATGGAACACAAATGGCAAAAGTAGGCATCCTTCTCTTGTTCCTGATGTTATAGGAAAAGCTATGAAGCTTCATCATTAAATGTGAAGTGAGCTGTGGGTTTTTAATATATGGCCTTTATTATGTTGAGGTACTGTTTTTCTATTTCTACTTTGTTTATTGTTTTTATCATGAAAGCCTCCTGAATTTTTCCATGCATTGGATATTCAAATTTCCTATTTCTTTGATTGTAACTAAGTAAGATGAATAGTGATTGTCGTTTCGGTTCTCTCCTAACCTTAAATATGCTACCTTTTCCTTCAACTACCAGAATTGCCTGTTACTAGATCTCCATCTCTGGTCTCCTCTCTCCCTTGCAGGCTTCTCTCTGGGCTCCACAGTGCAGTCTCACACTAAAGGAATCAGGATGTGGTGTTTGCCCCATCCCAAGAAGCCAGGCCACATCCTAGTTCTGCTGGACACCGAGGGTCTGGGAGATGTAGAGAAGGTGAGACTCAAGGATCCAATTGTGGAGTGAGTCCCTCTTCTCTGAGTATTTTATGCACCATTTAATTGTTTATTAACCATTAACTATAGGCTGTAATATGTGTGGGTTAACACAGATGCATAAAGGGAGCACAAGTAATCCCAGTGTCATAAGTCTTTTCCTGCAGAGAACTTTAGTTAAGAATTTGGGTCTAAAGCCTCGTGACTTTGTATTTAAATTAAATTCTGTCACTAATTCAGTAGCCTGAGAAAATTGACTTATTTTAGCCTCAGCATTCCAACCTTCAAAATGTATGGAAAAGACCTATGTTGGCCACATAGTATTATTTTGAATATTTAATAAGATAATACATTTCAGGTGTATATTAATTACTTGCTAAAATAGCAACTAATAGTATCAATCTTATGTGTGAATTTTGTTATTGAAAAAAAAAGAGAAAATTTTAAATTTAAATTGTACTTCAGGCCTTAAAATGCCCACCAACCTTGAATTTTAATTTTACAATTATCTGTTGATGATCATTAGACCTAGTAAGAATCATAGTAACCCAAAAACACTCATCGAAAAACTACCCAAAAGCCACATCCTACTGAGAATAATTTTTGTATTGTCTTCCTTTAATAGGTCATTAGTGTTAAAAAACAAAAACAAAAACAAAAACAAAAAAAAAAACCTCTAACATATGAACATTGTTTTACTACTGTTACTCTGGAAAGTGCTGTGACAATGAAACTTGCTCCTGACTCCAGTGTGTCTTGACTTCCACGGTGACAACCAGAATGACTCCTGGATCTTCGCCCTGGCCGTCCTCCTGAGCAGCACCTCCGTGTACAATAGCATGGGAACCATCAACCAGCAGGCCATGGACCAACTGCAGTATCCTTTGTGACCCAGAACAGCACCCAGGTCAGAGGGGACACCTGTATTCATAAATCAGCTGCCTGACTGTGAATCCTCATGAATCAAGCTCAAGAGGAGAAAACAAAAAATAATGCAAGTACGAGGAGCGATCCCATGTATCCACTTTAGAAATGACACTTAGGTTAGGAGCAAAGGAAAATGGAAGGTTTGGGAATGTGTTGAACTAATATGGGATGAGGTCCCTGTTCATTTTGTCACATTTCCTTAGTTAGCTACTCAGCTATGTGACAGAGCTGACACACCGAATCCGATCAAAATCCTCACCTGATGAGAATGAGAATGAGGATTCAGCTGACTTTGTGAGCTTCTTCCCAGACTTTGTGTGGACACTGAGAGATTTCTCCCTGGACTTAGAAGCAGATGGACAACCCATCACAGCAGATGAGTACCTGACATACTCCCTGAAGCTGAAGCAAGGTAACGGAGAGCTTCAACTGATAAATGAGGATGAGAAAACAAAAGAAATTATCATTTTTCAGTTTACTATTGCCAGTTTTCCCAAATTTGCAGTTTTCTATGTCTTCAGCTGGCTATTCCTAGAAATTAATGCTTGTTGAATATCCAGATTAATAGATGTTATTTTAAATTACATTTGTCATTGTTCTAAAACAAGTTTCTTGTTCTTTCACCTATGTGTATGCTATGATTAGATTAATTTTATCTCCCTGCCTAGGGTTTGTGATCTTCTATTTAGCCACAGAATGTGGAGCAAAATGGGTATTTATTTAAAGAACATAGACTAAAACATGAACGTGTGCTAGTTCAAGCACTGGCAAACTACAGCCCAAGACAAATCATGGCCAATCCTGCCTGCCAGCTGTCTTTGTAAAATAAGGTTTTCTTGGAATAACGCTATGCCCATTCATTTACAGATTTTCAAAAACTGTTGTCATATGCTCCAATAACAGAGTTCAGTATTTGGAAAAGAGACCACCCAGCCTGAAAAGCCTAAAATATTAATTATTTGGCTCTTTACAGAAACACTTATATTAGGCAATTTTATGATTTTTTTATGTTTTTCTAGATACCAGTTAAACAGATAAAACTTTTCTTTTTTTTTTTCTTTTTACCAAGCTCAAGTCCAACCTTCTCTGCTTACGTCAATATTGACAACTTTTAGGCTGTTTTTTTTTTTTTTTTTAAATACTTTAAGTTCTAGGGTACATGTACACGACGTGCAGATTTGTTACATATGTATACATGTGCCATGTTGGTATGCTGCACCCATTAACTCGTCATTTACATTAGGCATATTTCCTAATGCTATCCCTCCCCCCGACCCCTTCCCACAATAGGCCCCAGTGTGTGATGTTCCCCTTCCTGTGTCCAAGTGATCTCATTGTTCAATTCTCACCTATGAGTGAGAACGTGCCGTGTTTTAGTTTTCTGTTATTGCGATAGTTTGCTGAGAATCATGGTTTCCAGCTGCATCCATGTCCCTACAAAGGACATGAACTCATCCTTTTTATGGTTACATAGTATTCCATGGTGTATATGTGCCGTATTTTCTTAATCCAGTCTGTCACTGATGGACATTTGGGTTGATTCCAAGTCTTTGCTATTCTGAATAGTGTTGCAATAAACATACGTATGCATGTGTCTTTATAGCAGCATGATTTATAATCCTTTAGGTATATACCCAGTAATGGGATGGCTGAGTCTAATTGTATTTCTAGTTCTAGATCCTTGAGGAATCGCCACACTGTTTTCCACAATGGTTGAACTAGTGTACAGTCCCACCAACAGTGTAAAAGTGTTCCTATTTCTCCACATCCGCTCCAGCACCTGTTGTTTCCTGATTTTTTAATGATTGCCATTCTAACTGGCATGCTATTGTACATGAAGGTGTTGCTCAGGAGGACTGCCATTCTAACTGTGAGATGGTATCTCATTGTGGTTTTGATTTGCATTTCTCTGATGGTGAGTGATGATGAGCATTTTTTCATGTGCCTGTTGGTGTATGAATGTCTTCTTTTGAGAAGTGTCTCTTCATATCCTTTGCCCACTTTTTGATGGGGTTGTTTTTTTATTGTAAATTTGTTTGAGTTCTTTGTAGGTTCTGGATATTAGCCTTTTGTCAGATGAGTAGATTGTAAAAATTTTCTCCCATTCTGTAGGTTGCCTGTTCTCTCTGATGATAGTTTCTTTTGCTGTGCAGAAGTTCTTCAGTTTAATTAGATCCCATTTGTCAATTTTGGCTTTTGTTACTGTTGCTTTTGGTGTTTTAGACATGAAGTCCTTGCCCATGCCTATGTCCTGAATGGTATTACCTAGGTTTTCTTCTAGGGTTTTTATGGTTTTAGGTCTAACATTTAAGTCTCTAATCGATCTTGAATTAATTTTCGTATAAGGAATAAGGAAAGGATCCAGTTTCAGCTTTCTACTTATGGCTAGCCAATTTTCCCAGCACCATTTATTAAACAGGGAATCCTGTCCCCATTTCTGGTTTTTGTCAGGTTTGTCAAAGATCAGATGGCTGTAGATGTGTGGTATTATTTCTGAGGGCTCCATTCTGTTCCACTGGTCTATATCTCTGTTTTGGTACCAGTACCATGCTGTTTTGGTTACTGTAGACTTGTAGTATAGTTTGAAGTCAGGTAGCATGATGCCTCCAGCTTTGTTCTTTTGGCTTAGGATTGTCTTGGCAATGCAGGGTCTTTTTTGGTTCCATATGAACTTTAAAGTAGTTTTTTCCAAGTCTGTAAAGAAAGTCATTGGTAGCTTAATGGGGATGGCATTGAATCTATAAATTACCTTGGGCAGTATGGCCATTTTCACAATATTGATTCTTCCTATCCATGAACATGGTATGTTCTTCCATTTGTTTGTGTCCTCTTTTATTTTACTGAGCAGTGGTTTGTAGTTCTCCTTGAAGAGGTCCTTTACATCCCTTGTAAGTTGGATTCTTAGGTATTTTATTCTCTTTGAAACTATTGTGAATGGGAGTTCATTCATGATTTGGCTCTCTGTTTCTCTGTTACTGGTATATAAGAATGCTTGTGATTTTTGCACATTAATTTTGTATCCTGAGACTTTGCTGAAGTTGCTTATCAGCTTAAGGAGATTTTGGGCTGAGACAATGGGGTTTCCTAAATATACAATCATGTCATCTGCAAACAGGGACAATTTGACTTCTTCTTTTCCTAACTGAATACACTTTATTTCTTTCTCTTGCCTGATTGCCCTAGCCAGAACATCCAACACTATGTTGAATAGGAGTGGTGAGAGAGGGCATCCCTATCTTGTGCCAGTTTTCAAAGGGAATGCTTCCAGTTTTTGCCCATGCAGTATGATATTGGCTGTGGGTTTGTCATAAACAGCTGTTGTCATTTTGAGATACATTCCATCAATACCGAATTTATTGAGAGTTTTTAGCATGAAGGGTTGTTGAATTTTGTCAAAGGCCTTTTCTGCATCTATTGAGATAATCATGTGGTTTTTGTCTTTGGTTCTGTTTATATGCTGGATTATGTTTATTGATTTGCATATGTTGAACTAGCCTTGCATTCCAGGGATGAAGCCCACTTGATCATGATGGATAAGCTTTTTGACGTGCTGCTGGATTCTATTTGCCAGTATTTTATTGAGGATTTTTGCATTGATGTTCATCAGGGATATTGGTCTAAAATTCTCTTTTTTTGTTGTGTCTCTGCCAGGCTTTGGTATCAGGATGATGTTGGCCTCATAAAATGAGTTAGGGAGGATTCCCTCTTTTTCTATTGATTGGAACAATTTCAGAAGGATTGGTACCAGCTCCTCCTTGGACCTCTGGTAGAATTTGGCTGTGAATCCGCCTGGTCCTGGACTTTTTTTTTTGGTTGGTAAGCTATTAATTATTGCCTCAATTGCAGAGCCTGCTATTGGTCTATTCAGGGATTCAATTTATTCCTGGTTTACTCTTGGGAGAGTGTAAGTGTTTAGGAAATTATCCATTTCTTCGAGGTTTTCTAGTTTATTTGCATAGAGGTGTCTGTAGTATTCTCTGATGGTAGTTTGTATTTCTGTGGGGTCGGTGATGATATCCCCTTTATCATTTTTTATTGCATCTATTTGATTCTTCTCTCTTTTCTTCTTTATTAGTCTTGCTAGCAGTCTATCAATTTTGTTGATCTTTTCAAAAAACCAACTCCTGGATTCATTGATTTTTTGGAGGGTTTTTTGTGTCTCTATCTCCTTCAGTTCTGCTCTAATCTTAGTTATTTCTTGCCTTCTGCTAGCTTTTGAATGTGTTTGCTCTTGATCTCTAGGTCTTTTAATTGTGATGTTAGGGTGTCAATTTTAGATCTTTCCAGCTTTCTCTTGTGGGCATTTAGTGCTATAAATTTCCCTCTACATACTGCTTTAAATGTGTCCCAGAGATTCTGGTATCTTGTATCTTTGTTCTCACTGGTTTCAAAGAACATCATTATTTCTGCCTTCATTTCATTACGTACCCAGTAGTCATTCAGGAGCAGGTTGTTCAGTTTCCATGTAGTTGAGTGGTTTTGATTGAGTTTGTTAATCCTGAGTTCTAGTTTGATGGCACTGTGGTCTGAAAGACAGTTTGTTATAATTTCTGTTCTTTTACATTTGCTGAGGAGTGCTTTACTTCCAACTATGTGGTCAATTTTGGAATAAGTGCAATGTGGTGCTGAGAAGAATGTATATTCTGTTGATTTGGGGTGGAGAGTTCTGTAGATGTCTATTAGGTCTGCTTTGTGCAGAGCTGAGTTCAATTCCTGGAGATCCTTGTTAACTTTCTGTCTTGTTGATCTGTCTAATGTTGACAGTGGGGTGTTAAACTCTCCCATTATTATTGTATGGGAGTCTATGTCTCTTTGTAAGTCTCTCAGGACTTGCTTTATGAATCTGGGTGCTCCTGTATTGGGTGCATATATATTTAGGATAGTTAGCTCTTCCTGTTGAATTGATCCCTTTACCATTATGTCATGGCCTTCTTTGTCTCTTTTGATCTTTGATGGTTTAAAATCTGTTTTATCAAAGACTAGAATTGCAACCCCTGCTTTTTTTTTTTGTTTTCCATTTGCTTGGTAGATCTTCCTGCATCCCTTTATTTTGAGCCTATGTGTGTCTCTGCATGTGAGATGGGTCTCCTGAATACAGCAAACTGATGGGTCTTGACTCTTTATCCAATTTGCCAGTCTGTGTCTTTTAATTGGACAATTTAGTCCATTTACATTAAAGTTAATATTGTTATGTGTGAACTTGATCCTGTCATTATGATATTAGCTGGTTATTTTGCTCGTTAGTTGATTCAGTTTCTTCCTAGTGTCGATGGTCTTTACATTTTGGCATGTTTTTGCAATGGCTGGTACCAGTTGTTCCTTTCCATGTTTAGTGCTTCCTTCAGGAGCTCTTGTAAGGCAAGCCTGGTGGTGACAAAATCTCTAAGCATTTGCTTGTCTGTGAAGGATTTTATTTCTCCTTCACTTATGAAGCTTAGTTGGGCTGAATATGAAATTCTGGGTTGAAAATTCTTTTCTTTGAGAGTGTTGAATATTGGCCCCCACTCTCTTCTGGCTTGGAAAGTTTCTGCCAAGAGACCTGCTATTAGTCTGATAGGCTTCACTTTGTGGGTAACCCGACCTTTCTCTCTGGCTGCCCTTAACATTTTTTCCTTCATTTCAACTTTAGTGAATCTGACAATTACGTGTCTTGGAGTTGCTCTTCTTGGGGAGTGTCTTTGTCATGTTCTCTGTATTTCCTGAATTTGAATGTTGGCCTGCCTTACTAGGTTGGGGAAGTTCTCCTGGATGATATCCTGCAGAGTGTTTTCCAACTTGGTTCCATTTTCTCCGTCACTTTCAGGCACACCAATCAAATGTAGATTTGGTCTTTTCACATAATCCCATATTTCTTGGAGGCTTTGTTCATTTCTTTACACTCCTTTTTCTCTACACTTCTCTTCTCACTTCATTTCACTCATTTGATCTTCAATCACTGATACTCTTTCTTCCAGTTGATCGAGTCGGTTACAGAAGCTTGTGCATTTGTCACGTAGTTTTCATGTCATGGTTTTCATCTCTATCAGTTCTTTTAAGGTCTTCTCTGCATTGATTATTCTAGTTATCCATTCATCCATCCTTTTTTCAAGGTTTTTAGTTTCTTTGCGCTGGTTACGTAGTTCTTCCTTTAGCTCTGAGAAATTCGATTGACTGAAGCCTTCTTCACTCAGCTCATCAAAGTCATTCTCTGTCCAGCTTTGTTTCATTGCTGGCGACGAGCTGCATCCTTTGGAGGGGGAGATGCACTCTGATCTTTTGAATTTCCCGCTTTTCTGCACTGCTTTTTCCCCATCTTTGTGGTTTTATCTGCCTTTGGTCTTTGATGATGGTGATGTACTGATGGGGTTTTGGTGTGGGTGTCCTTTCTGTTTGTTAGTTTTCCTTCTAAGTCAGGACACTCAGCTGCAGGTCTGTTGGAGTTTGCTTGAGGTCCACTCCAGACCCTGTTTGCCTGGGTATCAGCAGCGGAGGCTGCAGAAGATAGAATATTGCTGAACAGCGAGTGTTGCTGTCTGATTCTTGCTCTGAAAGCTTTGTCTCAGGGGTGTACCCAGTCATGTGAGGAGTGAGGTGTCGGTCTGCACCTAGTGGGGAATGTCTCCCAGTTAGGCTACTCAGGGGTCAGAGACCCGCTTGAGCAGGCAGTCTGTCAGTTCTCAGATCTCAACCTCCATGCTGGGAGAACCACTGTTGTCTTCAAAGCTGTCAGACAGGGACTTTTACATCTGCAGAGGTTTCTGCTGCTTTTTGTTTAGCTATGCCCTGTCCCCAGAGGTGGAGTCTACAGAGGCAGGCAGGCCTCCTTGAGCTGTGGTGGGCTCCACCCAATTCGAACTTCCTGGTGGCTTTGTTTACCCACTTAAGCCTCAGCAATGGTGGGCGCCCCTCCCCCAGCCTCGCTGCTGCCTTGCAGTTAGATCTCAGACTGCTGTGCTAGCAATGAGGGAGGCTCTGTGGGCATGGGACCCTCTGGGCCAGGTGTGGGATATAATCTCCTGGTGCGCTGTTTGCTAAGACCCTTGGAAAAGCACAGTATTAGGGTGGGAGTTACCCGATTTTCCAGATGTTGTATGTCTCCATTTCCCTTGGCTAGGAAAAGGAATTCCCTTCCCCCTTGTGCTTCCCAAGTGAGGTGATGCCTCGTCCTGCTTCAGCTCTCGGTAGTCGGGCTGCACCAGTGAACCAGCATCGACTGTCTGACATGCCCCAGTGAGATGAACCTGGTACCTCAGTTGAAAATGCAGAAATCACCTTTCTTCTGTGTCACTCACGCTGGGAGCTGAACGCCAGAGCTGTTCCTATTCGGCCATCTTGGTCACCCCCCCAGATGAAACTTTTAATCTGTCCCGACTCTGTATCCAGAAGTTCTTCCCAAAGAAGAAATGCTTTATCTTTGATCGGCCGATTCACCACAAGAAGTTTGCCCAGCTCATGACACCATGTGACGAAGAGCTGGACCCCGAATTTGTGCAACAAGTAGCAGACTTCTGTTCCTACATCTTTAGCAATTCCAAAACTAAAACTCTTTCAGGAGGCATCAAGGTCAATGGGCCTTGTAAGTCCCCTTCCTAGTACTTCTGCTCATTTTTTAAGACTAGGGGAGCATAGAATAACTTCCACCTAGTTTCAGCTTTGAAAAGTCCCACTCTACTACTATATTTGTGTTAAATTCTAGATGGCACCAGTGTTTCTAATATATATTGTTAGTCAAATTTCCAGTCTAGGAAAAGGCCAAGGGAAAAAAGTTCTATTGCTTAAAATTGCCCTAGTGAACTGGACCTGCACATGCAATACAGTAGCCCCTAGACAAGTGTGTCTATGTAAACATAAATGTAAATAATTTAAATGGGGAAAATTTTAAAGTCAATCACATGGCTGTAATTCAAGGACTCATATCTACATGTACTTAGTGGCTAGCACACTGAACAGCCCATATAAAATATTTCCAGCATTATAGAAAGTGCTTTTGGACAAAACTGTGATAAAATAAACTAAATGGATGAGTCCTTTTTACTGGAATAGTGTCATTTGTTTCATACACATTGATCAAATGCTTACTATGAATAGACTGAAGATACAGACATAAATGAAATAGATATGGTTCCTGTCCTAATGGTGCTTAGGGTTAAAATGGATGCAAACATTCAATTAACACAAGTCTATGTAATCTAGTACAAGAACTCTCAAATGTTGGTATGCATGCATATCTTCTGAGGATCTTACCAAAGAGAAAAGTCTAATTCAATAGATCTTGGACAGGGTCTGAGAGTCTGTATTTCTAGCAAGCTTCCAGGTGATACTGAGGACATTGATGCTGTGAGGAAAATAGGTGGTATTTGACATGCTCAGAATTACATGGAATCGAGACTTTCTTTACTATAAGAAACATTAGCATCTGTTCTCCATATGCAGGTCTAGAGAGCATGGTGCTCACCTATGTCAATGCCATCAGCAGTAATGATCTGCCCTGCTGGAGAATGTAGTCCTGGCCTTGGCCCAGATAGAGAGTTCAGCTGCAGTGCAAAAGACTATTGCCCACTACGAACAGCAGATGGACCAGAAGGTACAGCTCCCCGTGGAAATCCTCCAGGAGCTGCTGGACCTGCACAGGGACAGTGAGAGAGGGGCCATTGAAGTCTTCATCAGGAGTTCCTTCAAAGATGTGGAACATCTATTTCAAAAAGAGTTAGCAGTAATTTTTGTCTCAAATTTATACGGTTTAGGGTCATGGAAGCCAAAGTACTACAAGGAAAGAAAATGAATATCTATTTTGATAGAAGTAATTCTTCCTAGCTTTCATAATGGTGACAACAGATTTGTAATCACATAATCAAAAGGACCAATTGTATTATTACAGACTCAAAGTCTTAAAACATTTTTTCCTGAATAATTTTCCCTTTACCTAAATGCATGTGACTGACAACTAGAGCTTCTAATAAAATTACCTGCCCACTCTTTTAAGACTGATTTGATATTTTAGCCAAACGCAAAGAAAATGTTCATCCTACTTATCTTGAACAGGCTTCTGTTCAGCCACATTTATTCCATATGAAATCATTAGTCCAATATGCAAAAGCAGAGTTTTCCTCTAATGGTTGACATAAAGGTATCAATCTCAGCCTTGACCCTCACCTCCAAAAAGAAAGCAACTTCAGTAGAAAGTGGGGTCAGGAGGAAGAGTGTGGTCCTGGTGAGAAGCCTGTCAGTTTCTCCAGGGTCATTGACTTCTATTTTGAGAAGTCGTTCCCAAAATTCTGAGGTCAAGCTAACATCCTTTCCCCATGACTCCTTTTACTTCCTATTTTTACATTAAAGGCCCAGCTAGACAAAACGCACAATGACTTTTGTAAACAGAATCAGAAAGCATCATCAGATCATTGCTCAGCTTTACTTTAGGATATTTTCAGTCCTCTAGAAGAAGAAGTGAAGGCAGGAATTTATTTGAAACCGGGGGGCTATCATCTTTTTTTTCAGATGCTACAAGATCTGAAGAAAAAGTACCATGAGGAACCAAGGAAGGGGATACAGGTAACCAAGATTTATCTGTCAGTTATGGAAAGCTGCTGACCTGCCTCCTGCAAACACCAAGGTGACCAAGCTTCACTGCACACAGATGTGCTTTTTTGTTTGCATAACATTCATGTTTTTATTCAATAACATATGCAAAGAGACTGTTATACCAGATATGTCCTAGGTGCTCATCAAAGAGAGTGTAATTAACTATTGTGTTATAAATTCAATTAGCAGATGAAGTACCAAGTTGTTATTATCATCTTTACAGCTGGGCTTTTTCTGTTGCAAGAGACAGGAACCTAATGATGGTTACTTAAACAAAAATAGTAATTCATTGATTTAGGCTGCAAACTGGCTTTACAGGACAGGTGGGTCTAAGGTTTCAAATAACATTATGAACTGTCTCTCTGTACAGTGTTCCCCCATCCCCACAGTTTTCTCCCTCCCACCCTCTCTTTATTTGAGTCACTCTGATATTTGCTTTCTCAAAGATGGCTTCATTCCCCAGCAGGCTCAGCCCATATGGGACCACAGCATTACCAGTTCCAAACTTAGAGCCCTTAATCTAAACAGGACAGAGACCATCTTTTTCCCAGTATCTATATTAGCCTACTAAAAATGACTGCTAAGTAGGATGCTCTGATCAGCTTGCCAGGAGCATGTGCCTGTCACTCGGACAGGGAATTTGGTCACCAAGAACAACAGGGTCAAGAGGAAGTATTCCCAGAGGAAAGAATGGCAGGAAGACGAACAGGAACACCTGCTTCCAGCCATTTCCTACTGCTCACTCTGTGTTCTCTGGGTCCTAAGGCTGAAGAGATTCTGCAGACATACTTGAAATCCAAAGAGTCTATGACTGATGCAATTCTACAGACAGACCAGACTCTCACAGAAAAGGAAAAGGAGATTGAAGGTGAGGAGTGAGTTAAGAGATTAGATGGCCTCAAAAGCTCTAAAAATTGAAATAACTTGACTAGATAAACATGGGACCCATTAACTAGAGCAGGATCCACAAAGGTGTGTCTTACTTGCTGATGTCGTCTCTGAGTAGGGCATATACAGGCAACAACAACGACAGGTAAGCGTAAAAGGAAGAATGCGGCAACAAGATAACCCCACACAAATTTTTCTTCTTCCTTTTCCTCCACAGTGGAACGTGTGAAAGCTGAGTCTGCACAGGCTTCAGCAAAAATGTTGCAGGAAATGCAAAGAAAGAATGAGCAGATGATGGAACAGAAGGAGAGGAGTTATCAGAAACACTTGAAACAACTGACTGAGAAGATGGAGAGGGACAGGGCCCAGTTGATGAAAGAGCAAGAGAGGACCCTCACTCTTAAACTTCAGGTATCTAATTGCATCACCTCGAGGTTTCTGTTTTTCTGTTTTCTCTCCATTCTCCCTGATCACAAACTTAGTGTGGCAGGGAGAACATAAAGCCCAGGGGAAGGACCCTGTTTGCTTACTTGTACTTTTCAATTCCTGTCTGTCCGGCCTGAACTGGCTACTGCCAAGTCTGGTCACTAAACTGCAAATATTGCAGTTGTGCCATACTCAGTCCTTTATATACCCTTCATTTCAAGGCAGCTATTATCTGCCAGGCATCATTAAAATATCTGTATCTTGGCCGGGTGCAGTGACTCACGCCTGTAATCCCAGCACTTTGGGAGGCCGAGGCAGGCAGATCACGAGGTCAGGAGATCTAGACCATCCTAGCTAACATGGTGAAATCCCATCTCTACTAAAAATTAAAAAAATTAGCTGGGCATGGTGGCGGGCACCTGTAGTCCCAGCTACTGGGGAGGCTGAGGCAGGAGAATGGCGTGAACCCGGGAGGCAGACCTTGCAGTGAGCTGAGGATCGTGCCACTGCACTCCAGCCTGGGCGACAGAGCGAGCCTCCGTCTAAAAAAAAAAGAAAAATGTGTATCTATTGCTTAATACCATATGAAGAAAGAACTATATCCTTATTACTTAAAAGAAGAAACAAAGGTTCCAAAAAGAATAAATAATTAAGTTCGCACAGCTAGTAAATACATCGGAGCTGTCTTCATCACTTAGTGGAATCCACAATGATTATTTTTCTTCTGTGACACCTCGTAGGAAATTAAATTTAAGAAAACCTTTATGAGCAGAAAGGCTCCTAACCCTCACACCTGTATGATACTCTGCTAATTCTGACCATTTTTTATGTCCTGCTCCCAGTTTGTTCTGAGTTGTGAGCTATGTGCAGAAACTCAGTGTGGTCAGTCTGGCACTCGGATTTCTTACCTATCTTCGGCTACCCCTGACACCAAGGTGTGGCAGCTTAGATCAAATTTCCTAATGCACGATTCATATACCTTATGAGATTTTGAGGATACTTTGCTTATTTCCGTGTTATGTCATATACATAATAGTGTAAGGAACATGCCTGTGCTTTGATCAAGGATAAGCCAAAGTACGATGTTTACACCTTGCATGACTCAGTGAGTCTAGAGCACAGGCGTATAACTCCACTTGTCATCATAGCCATGCAGACGTAGCATAGAGAAGCTCACCACCATAGCCATAACATAGGGAAGGCCATCACTTGGCTCTAAGCCACTATTGTCTATAAAAGGTATAATTCCCCGTTGACACTGTGCAGGTGCTGGTGCCCAAAGAGAAAGCCAAAGCTGTCCGTCTTTGCAGACAGACAGAGGGGAACCAGGACACAGCTCAGCCCACTCATGCCTAGAGAGAGAGAGAGAGTTAAGCTGCTGACCTTGAAGGTAGGGGAGAGCCAGCTGCATAGCTGTGTGGGGGGCTGCCAGGCTAAGCACCCAAGGCAGGGCAGACAGTGTAGACAGCTAGTGTGAGAAAGCTGTTGATAAGAGCTGGTGCTGAATAAAATCATATTCACCTGCCTACGGCCTCCTGCGTGTTCTTTTGGCTCATCCGCCCACTCCCTCCCTACCTCAAAAGGACCTGTGGCATAGTCGTGAGCCTGACAAATAGTATATGTATAGGAAGGTATATAAAAGAATGTATAATGCATAGATAAGAGTTGAAGCCAAACATATGATCAGAACTGCCCACCAAGGCTGTATACAATTAATGGGGGGAAAATCAAGGTTAATAATTTAGGTTCATCAAACATAGCAAAATGTATAAGCTAAGACTCTCTCTTAGCTAAAGGATTCCCAGGAGAAGAAATCACTGAGCCTGGATGCCCAAGCAAAAGTATAATGAAAATTAAGACTAGAGAATATTTTAAGAGAAAATTAAATAACAAATCATTCAATGTGGAAGCCAGATAGCATATTTCAATTTGCCTGCTGCTACACTTTACTTAGCCTCCGTTTGTCCATCTTCAGGAACAAGAGCGACTGCTAAAAGAGGGATTTGAAACATAAGCAGAAGAATGCAAAATGAGACACAGAATCTCCAGAGGACAATGATACAACGAAGGACATATACCATAAGCTAAAGACCAGAGCCTTCCTGTCACCCCTACCCAAGGCATAACTGAAACAATTTTAAAATTTGGAACAAGTGTCACTACATTTGATAACAATTAGATCTTGCATCATAACACCAAAATTATAAAGGCATGCAGTACAGTGATCAAAACCATATTTTTTCCAAAAAAAGACTGTAAATTGTGCAACAAAGATGCATTTACCTCTGTATCAACTCAGGAAGGTTCATGAGCTGGTACCACTCAGGAGAAGTTTATTCTTCCTGACGACAAGCAGTAGACAAATGGATACTGAGCAGAGTCTTAGGTAAAAGTCTTGGGAAATATTTGGGCATTGGTCTGGCCAAGTCTACAATGTCCCAATATCAAGGACAACCACCCTAGCTTCTTAGTGAAGACAACATGTAGTTACCCATTAGATCAAGGCTACACAGTCTATGAGCAATAATGTGATTTCTGGACATTGCCCATGTGTAATCCTCACTGATGATTTCAAGCTAAAGCAAACTACCTTGTACAGAGATCTAGCATCTCTTGATGTTCTCCAGAGGAAGGTGAAAGAAACCATGGGCAGCAGTAGGAATCGAGTGATAAACAAATGGGCTAAAGAAGAAAACTTTTCTTCTTGTTCAGTTCATCCAGATTATAACTTCAATGGGACACTTTAGACCGTTAGACAATTGACACTGGATTAAACATAGTCACACAATGCCAATTACACACTGTATTTATGGCAATGTATAATTTGCAAAGATGGACTTTAAAAGATGATGTGTAACAAAACTGAACTAATTCAATTACTTATTGTTCAGAATGCTAAAGCTTATGCTAGTCTTTTCTAATTCTTAACAGTCATACTTGAAATCTTGCTGAGTTTCCCCAAAAGAGAATATGGAATGTTTTTTGACATTTTTGACCCATGTAATAATGCTCTTGTGTTTACCTAGTATATGTAGACTTTATCTCATGTGTCAAAAGTCCTAGGAAAGTGGTTGATGTTTCTTACAGAAATTGAAAATTATTTTTGAACTGTAAATACAATGTATTTCACTAGGGTTCTTATTTCTGATTACGTTTTCTTTTTGCAGTTATTTTTATCAGAAAATAAGGTTTTCGTCTTCATAGCAATGGTTGGCAATCTTTTCTGTAAATACCACATAGTAACTAGTTGTGATTTCGCAGGTCATACAGTCTCTGTCTGAAGTACTCAGTTCTGCATGTAGTGCAAATGCAGTCATAGAAAATACCTAAACCAATTGGTGTGGCTATGTTTCAAACAGTTTTTGTTTTCAATAACAGGGTGGCACCCATAAGCCATCGTTTGCAGAACTCTGCTTTACAGAAACATTGGTCAAAGTTTTATATACCTGCCTTGTGTAACTCACACGTGTAAAAATCATATGGATTAGATTATATATATTAGAATCTTGAAAAAACTATGTGGTTATTCAGAATAACACAGTAAGAAAAAAGGAGGGAAGCAGCTAATGCCATTAAATTCACATTAATAATCCTGTCTTTCCTAATTGCTTTGAGGCCTTTTATTACCTTGAACTACCTCTGATCCAATCACATGGCAAATGCCTCCTTTCACAATAGAGCGTGGAGCTGTTACCTCACTTGAATTGAAACTTCATAGAAGACCAGATGAGACCACAGAATACTAGATGAAATGTTCATGTAGATATGCTTGATATTTTCTTCCAAGTTCCATTGCTACAAAGGTGTAAATAAAATACATTTTTATGAGTTGAAGTTACTTCATGGTAGAAAATAACAATTCTGCCTTCAAAAGCAAATAATCGTTTCTTTGTTAACCAAAAAAGTATAAGCAAATGAAAAATCAGCAAAATTGAGATACTTCCTTCCCAGTTTGGTAGCATTAATATTTAAAACACATTCCAAACCATCTGACTTGGTTTAGTACTTTTCTCTAACATATGCCAGAATAGCATCAAGCTCTCTCCAGGGAGGCATGTTGCTTTCCTGTCCTTAGGCCCTCCAATGGTGTGCAAGGATGCAGGCTGTGGTGAGTGGGGCCGGGCAATCATCAGTCCCCTGAATGGCATGCTTGGGTGCCACTGGCAGGTGACCTGGGCCTGCTGTCAGACTTCCTGATGTTGTGTGCACACACCCGCAGCAACAGTTGAGGCAGCATGATCCCCAGGCCCTGGGCAGCATGTTTGCGTGGTGGGTGGTGTGAGAGCCTGTCCTCAGGACACAGAACAGTGTCTGGGCAGACCAGCTCCAGAACCTTTGGAGGCACATGCAGATGCTTGGTGACCCTGCTTTGGGTGGAAGGTTGAGAGGGCTGCTGTCAGTGGCAGTGGCCCCAGGCAAGTGGCTTTCAGATACTGAGGTGTGTGCATTTGGGCTCCCTTTGTCCAGGGGGCAGCCTCCCTGCTGTGGTGCACTGCCTGTTCCCTACTGCACCACTGGATTCAGCCCAGGGGACAAAGTTGCAGTGCGCTGGATGGAAATGAAGAGATGTCAGCAGGGCTCCAGGGACGTGGAGATGCTGGGGCTGTTGGGCCCCAGAGCAGGACACAGTCTGGTGGGGGCTGGACTCTCAAAATAGAGCTGCCTGGTAGCTCCTTGAGTCTTGGCAGTATTCCTTACCTAAACCAATGGAGGCCGTTTGCCTGATTGCAATGGAAAGCCAAACAAGGAAGCACAGGGGTTTTGTAGAGGGAAAGGTTTATTTTTAGTTGACTAGCAAGGAGATGGGGGAAATGTTCAAATTTGTCTCTCAGATCTGGGGGTTGCAGCAGGTTTTATAGACAGAGGGTAATGAGGTGTGATCTGACTGCATTGTGCCATGAGGTGACCTCAGGCCTGGATCTGATGAGATCACAGATTAAGCCGTGAGGTGTCTCCTTCTTAAATCAGCCCTGCTCCCTGGTCCAAGCACTTAGGTTCCACCGTGGTTGCATGCTGAGTGTGTGTGGGCATGCTCGGGTAACATAACTGGAAACCAGGAGTTCGTGGCAACTGTAAAACAATGCATTATTTTATTACACAAACTTGAACCACATTGGGCTGGTTCTGCATTTTCAAATCCCCTTTTTTTTTGTTCATTTCTCAATCTTGAGGGAGAATGGGCGACAAGCACTCTAGCACTTCCTGCTGATTGCGGCACGGACCTTGGTTAGAGGAATAACATTGTTTAGCACGGTGCTGTAAGGCTTCCCTGATATCAGGGTTATGTTTCAGGAGTTGATTCAATTTTAGGAAAATGCATAAAGTGTTGGCAACTTAAACATTATTTTTACCAGAGAACAGAAAGAATGCTCAGGTTTTATAGCCAAAGTTCCCACGCAGATTCCCAATCTGGTCCGTTCATTCAATTAAGAACTAAAACTTGAAACCCACTTAGTTCTGATTGGTCAACCCAGCTGAATTCTAATTGGTCAATACAGCTGAGACTTGATTGGCAGAGGTAGGGAAGCTGAAGAGCCCCAAAATAATAAGCTATGTCTTTTGGGTGAACTCAGAACGTGTGTGTGACCCTCGTTAGCAAATGGCCCCTTGGCTCAACTTTAAATGTAGGCCCAGTTAGCCACTCAGGATGCATCTTGAAGGACTGGCTCAAACTTGTTGACAGACAGCATTGCATTCCATCACGGCATGGAAGTGATTAGCTACCTGCTTCGGGTTTATCTGGTCTTTTCTGGGGATCCTGGTGGCAGAGCAGTGGCCAATTGAGCAACTAGAGCCATTTACTTACAAAAGGCACTCAGGTACCTGTTAGATTCTAATCAAAGTCTCCTAGGTTATGTTGATTCTGGTTCCTGTCTGGAGTAAATTTAAAGTCTCGTGGGTTAGGTCAGCATGATCCAAGTGTCTTGCAGATATCTGTTAAAATAGGCTAGAACAGCTGGGCGCAGTGGCTCACACCTGTAATCCCAGCACACTGGGAGGTCGAAGCAGGCGGATCACCCGAGGTTAGGAGTTTGAGACCAGCCTGATCAACATGGAGAAACCCCATCTCTACTAACAAATACAAAACTAGCCGGACATGTTGGCGCATGCCTGTAATCCCGGCTACTCAGGAGGCTGAGGCAGGAGAATCACTTGAATCCGGGAAGCACAGGTTGCAATGAGGCGAGATCCCACCATTGCACTCCAGCCCAGGCAAAAAGAGCAAAACTGCATTTCCCCAAAAAAAAAAGAAAAGAAAAAACAAGCTAGAACAATTTGAAAGAGTACCCAAGTGATTAGTCCAAACAGAAGGATCATTACGATTTGTAGGATGGAACACAGAAGGTATCCTAGACTAGAGACAAAAGCCAGCTGAAAATAGGTGGGAATTGTACATTCAAGCCAGGAAGTCCAGCCAGGAGGCTTTTTGAAGTCTCCCTTTCAGAAATGTGGCTAACTTTAGGATCGTAGATGTTTCCAATTCAATCTAGCTGGATGTATTTACCCAGGTGCAGCAGCAAATGTTAGCAACAGCACCAACATCACCCTGTACAGCAAGGAGAGAGTCTAAGACAATGTTGTTGTCTAGGACTACATGAGCAAGGGAGTTTGGGATTTCTGCTGTGCTCTGATGGTTTGGCCAGTGGAACAGGTCATTCTATTAACAACAGTACAAGAAAGATTTCTGACCATATATTCATTCCAAGCAGGGCATAGTCCAAACTCAGACCCCGGTAACCTTCCTGATCTAGCTGCTTTGCTAGAGTTAATCCTTCTGGGTAAATCACATCCTTGGTAATATCCCCAACTATAATCTAAGAGATTATCATTAGTGTTCAGTTGTGTCTCCAAGATTCTCAGGTAGCTCTTCAGGTAGCAGTGGTGAGACTAGCTGAATAGATTAAAAATTGGGTTATTCATTTCTGTAGCCAAATCTCCTGGTGAGGATAACTTAAGTATTGTTTTTGCCTTTTGGGAGAAGGAAATATGGGCCTGATAGGTTTCTAAGAAGTCTCTTCAGGCTGAAGTGCTTTGTCACTTATCAAATGTTCCCTTATCAGACCTTGAAACCCCAGCTCTCCCACATCCTGTTTGTCCTATATTCTTAAATTCCCACATGAAACACCTTCTTTCCATAATGATTAATGGTGGATTTATTTCCATGACCAAATCCAGACTGATTCACCAACATTTTGTATAATAATATAATTCTAATAGAGAATGATTCCAACATTCCCGAAAGTGTTCACTGTTCTGTGCCCCTACACTTTTCCCACAATATGAGCACTGGGTAAAAACAGATGAGTGATTTGACTAGAAGATGTTGTCTATAAAGCCATGGTCTGATGACACTGATTTAGACCATTTTTATTCTATACAGATATACAACGCTATGTAACTTCTTCATATATTCTCTCATCCTGAACACGTTTTATAAATATGTATGAAATTTCAAAACACGCCTGGCGTGGTGCCTCATGTTTATAATGCCAGCACTTTGGGAGGCCAAGGCAGGTGGATCGCTTGAATCTAGGAGTTTGAGACCAGCCTGGGAAACATGGCAAGACCCTATCTCTACCAAAAAAAAAAAAAATAGTCAGATGTTGTAATGCATGCCTGTGGTCCCAGCTATTCGAGAGGCTTAGGCAGGAGGATCACTTGAGCTGGGGAGGCAGAGGTTGCAGGGAGCTGAGGTTGCACTACTGCACTCCAGCCTGGGTGACAGACCCAGACTCTGTCTCAAAAAAAAAAAAAAAAAAAAATCAAACCAGAAATTAGGAAAAAAATTTTTTAAACTCAACTCTTTATTATGTTAAAAAGAATTTTGATAATTTCAACAAATGGTTTATTTGGAATTTCCTATACCACTAACTGTACACTGATATGTTTACTTACAATGCATTGCATTATTTTGTACTGATTGCTAAAAGCAACTGGATGAGCAAAATCATAATGAAATTGCAAGAAAATTAATATGCAACACATAATTGATAAGATGAAACAGGAAAATCTTACAAAACAATGTATAATAATGCAGCTGCAAAATAATCACTGTTCTCTCACACTATTAATTTTTTTGTCATATCCTCCAACAAGAACATTGT